GAGCTGTGGATTCGCGGTGGTTGGAAGGGGCTTGCGGCTGGAGGACTGCAATTATAAAACGCCACAGTAAGAACTTTTGGCTGGCCTTTGCGCGAGCGTTCAGCGGCGATGTTGCATGGGAGTCGTCTTGCAGGCCGGCTTTCCAAAAAGGAAACCAGCGAAATAATTATTCTGAGAAGTGCATTGCTCACTGGGATTTACTTAAGGGCTTTCTTCTGAGTTAGGCAGCAGGATGTGAGCTGCCTTGGAGCTCTCGGGTCACTGGGAAGGAAGTGGCCACATGTGCCTGACCCCTCCCTATCAGCAGCCTGCAGCGGAGTTCAGATTGCAGCTGTACATGAAATGGTACTTTTTTTCTTTTTTTTTTTTCCTTTTTTGAAAAAGAAGGAAGCTCTTGGCCTCGGTGCCTACAAACGCTTGCGGGAGGTGGCAGAGGCGTGCTGAGCAGTCGCAGGAGCAGTCTGCAGAGGCTAGAAACACAGGTAGGAGCTTGCTGACGTGCCGGCGTTAATTCTGGCTCGCATTAAACAGCGTTAGCGGCGGAGGGGAGTGCTGCGTGTCGCTTGGGGCAGGCGCTTAGGAGGTGACGGAAATAGTCATGAGACTCCTGAAAGAGCGTTTCAGGCCGTTCTGCCTCTCTAGCGAGGGGAAGTGTCTAGCAGAGACGCTGCTTCCATCCGAAAAGGCCAGGCAGTATCATCTCGGGGGATGGCTGCAAGGGACTTGGGAAGGTAGGTTGTGTCCAGGTGTTTTGGAGGAGGTGACTGTCTCTCCTTTTCTCATACTCTCCCTGAGCTGCTTGGAAAAGTAATTGAGAGCCCAGTGACCAACTGCACGGGCTTTCTCTATCCAGAGCTTAGTTCTAAAATAAGGCCACTCCTTTACTGGCTAGGGAAGAGGAATGGTAGAGAGTTGTTATAAACAACATTGCTCTGCGTTTCCATCGACAGAAGTAAGTTCTAGGACTCGGGCTGAAATGTAAGAGCAAGAGCGAGGGGAGAAAACAGCCTCTTGGCTCAGCAGCTGTTCATTGGGGAGGGAGGGCTGGGTCGGGCTGGGCCTCAAAAGCCCCTCGCTGTGCAGATAAATAACCTCCTAAACTAGAAGAGCCAAGCATAATATCGAACCACTCCTCTCCTGTCCTTGGGAACAGAGGTAGCACTGCTGCTCTGGAGAAAAGTTAGAGGTTTATTTTTCTCCAGACTATCAGCCGTGGTGGAGGGTTTTTTTTTTTCTTCCCCCCCTTGCAGCAGTTGTGTGTTCTTGTGGGAGTGATGGCCAAGGTCCTCTCTGAACACGTGTGACGTGTGCTATAATCTTGGCTGGCTGAAAAAGAGGAATAAACAAAGCTTACTGCAGGTTTATTTTTCTCTCTTTCCTCCCCCCCGCCTTTTCCCCTTCTTTTTCGCTTTTGTAAAGCTTGCAAATCCCATTCAGGTGATTGGCATGCCCCATGTCCTAATCGCTCTTTCCTTTCTCCTCTGCGTGAAGGCAATAGCTTAGCACTGCCTGAGCTATGACTGGTTTGTGGAAGGAGGTGTTAAAAGTGTGATATCATCTTCAAGCAATGTCAGTGATGCTTTTGGTCTCTCTGTGTCTCATTTTCTTTCTCTAGAGCCAAATGTTTCTTTTAGCTCGGTTGCAAAGACCATAATGAAATACACTACATCCGCTTGGAGGTCTTGGCTATTGATTTTACTAGTGTCTTCAGACAGATGCTGGATTGTCTGCAAGAGGATTGCTCTCTGTCAAGCTCCATAGTCGTCTTCAATGGTGTCTCACTAGGAAGAAGCAGCTGTTTGTAAGACAGCTACTGCCTTGATTGCAAATGAACGATGTTAAAATCCTTTTCGCCCTGCTCAGGTGACAATCTCTTCTGGAAAACGTTTGATGTTTGCTTCACTGTCCTGCATGGGCGAGCCCGGGGGATACTTTCTCCAGTTGTGCTATACGGTTTCAATGCTCATCTCTTTGGGCCTTGTAACCACGGCTTTTCTCTTGCTTGAAAAAATATATCCTTGCGCAGTGAAAGGGAAGATGCCCGAGCCTGGTCTCGGGCCAGTGTGGATGGGAGTGACTTCCTGAAGTCACTGGAATTAGACGGCTCCTCAATGAGGTCGGTAGGGTGCGAGTCGTAGCAGCCCACGGATGCTTCCACCCCTCCAGGGGACTGGACCAAGGGTGATACTCGTGCATTTTTAAAGGATATTCCGTTCTCGGTCTCCAGGGGAAGGAAACTGTTGCGTGCAAGTATTTCTCTGGGACTGATTTCCTGCTGCAAATTGCTGCAGACTCGGCACCTGCTGTCCACATTGTTAGTCGAGGGGGTTATTGACTTTGAAGCGAGTGCTGCCTTTGTCCCGAATGCGGTCAGGAGGAATGGTACGGGTTCAGTATGACGCCGGAGCTGGACAGGCACAGTCCCCTGGTGCTTCCGCCCTGTGGAATAACTTCGTGTTTTGCTGCAGGATGTGGTGAGACTGACACAGCTCTTGCTAACCAGAACTGCTGTGTTTTGCTGTGGATGTCCCTCCTTGCCATCTGTTACTTCCTCTAACTGTGTCTGTGGTACGATCGAGCACCTTTTAAGGTTACATTTTCTGGGGGGGTTCTTCTTTTTTCTTTTTTTGACCCTGATGTGGTCACTTGTGGGGTCACATCAGCAGCTCTTAGAGCAGCACTGCGTGCAGAGAGCGTGCTACATGGCAAAAACATGGTTTCAGTCACTTTCATTTAGTGAACCTTTCGTTGAACCATATTAAAATATTTTTCCATTTGTCTCAACTCAATGCATGTCATGGCCTGAGTTGTTATTGGAGATGGATCACTCTGCTCCTGTATAGACTAGTATACGGAGCCCATTCCTGCATGAAAAGCAGCACTAGGGAAACAGTAAACGTGTTTTTAGTGAGACAAACTGAGGTGACTTTTTTTTTCATTTTTGGGGTGGTTTTTTTTCTCCCTTCTTGCCATAATTTAATAAGCAAACAAGACTCCTTGGTTTCATTCAAAGAAGAAATACTGGTTAGCACTATGCATCATCTGTCAAAGATGGGCTGGTGTGCAGCAAATGTAGTCTTGACCTTAAATTTGAGATTTTCTTGTTAAAGTTTGAGGATCATGTTTGCCAGTATAAATGGTTCTACACCTTTCTATAAATAGTTGTCTGCTTGATGAGAGAGATTCGTTTGCTTTGTCTTAGCAAACGATGAAAACCGTTGTTCACAAGACTTTGTGAGGCATCAGTTTTCATCAATCATTGTTACTTTATGTCTCTGTCCAACATGTGTTTAAAAAATATATATATATATACACACATACACTTTTGCTACAAACACATATTGAGCACATATCTATCACATATCTACACATATCTATCAAAGAGCAGCTTGACACAAATTATAAGGGGGGGTGGATGTGGGAACAAAGGAGGGATAATTAACTGCAGATAAAGAGAATTAACTTTGAAAGGACGCTGACAAGAAACGAATCTTAGCTTGTGTGTCTAAACCTCTCAGAGCTAATCCTTTTTTATAGATTGGAAGAAGAAGACGAGCTTTCCTAGTCTTTCAGCCAGTTTCCTAACTTGCAGTGAACTAGACCATAACGAAGAATACAGTTAGGTCCTCTCTGCACCTGCAGCAAAGGCTATTGCTCTTTTTAGAGCTGGTGTTATTTTGGCATATTCTGGTTCCGGGTGCCTGAGCTGTGACGACTTCTTGTGCTCCTCGGCCCTTCCTTGTCTTAACTTTGAATGCAAATGCATCTCCTATGCAAATAGGAGGGGAAAAAAAAAAAAGTAAAATCTAACTTACCTTCTTGTCCTTCTCAACTCTGCTGTATTGCAACTGAGTAGATGGTGCCAGGGCTTCCCCTTGTTTCTGTGTGATCTGGGTCTCCTGGCATGGTGATGATAAGGTTCCCTAATGCCTTAGGACTATTGGAGCCTGGGCTTTGAGCTAGCCTGAAAGAATTGAGCTATGTAAACCCATGGGCTCTGTTGTACCTTTCTGCTTTGTCTGTTGCTCAGCGAAAAATAGCTCTAGCAATGTGCATGATTTTGACAGAGTACATCAAGGCAAGGATTGTGGTGGTTGAAGCCTCCACTGGCTGAGTCCCTCCTTGGAGTCTGTCATTTTGCTTCTGGCTGTCCCGTCTTTTCCCTGTGGGACTATCAGGCTGGTTCTCTTATCCCGCTGTTCTGCGTGTGAGCACACAGGCAGGTCTTGCAGGGATGATGACTCTTCATTTGGCCCAGGTCACCAAACAGAGCCTCCTCTGCTTCAAACTTGACTATCAAGGGAGAAGGGAAATGGGGCAGAGAAAACAAAGCTGATGCTGGCCTCCGATGCTCTTCCCAGGTCTGGGGTGAAGGCCCAGATGGTATCCCAGATCTCTTCCTATGGGATTTAGACAAGGTTTCTTATTGAAAGAGCTGCCTCTAATCACTGCCCTTCTGTGCTGCATTGCAGATCAGTGTGTGCTGACAGGAGCAGATGAGCAAAGAGAGATTTCTCTGAAGATTAGAGTCCCCCGCAGTCCTGCCCCTGGAAGCGGTCCAGCAGCTGTGTCTCTGGCTGTCGTCACTACAGATCTGGAAAAGAAAGAAGAGGAGAAGAAAAATGTCCCATGCTTTAAAGCAGGTGTTCAATAAAGACAAAACCTTCCGGCCCAAACGCAAGTTTGAGCCGGGGACTCAGCGGTTTGAGCTGCACAAGAAGGCTCAGGCCTCTCTCAATGCTGGCCTGGACTTGAAAGTTGCCGTCCAGCTGCCACCAGGGGAGGAGCAGAACGACTGGGTGGCAGTGCACGTGGTGGACTTCTTCAATCGCATCAACCTGATATACGGCACCATCAGTGACTATTGCACAGAGCAGTCCTGCCCAGTCATGTCTGGGGGTCCCAAGTACGAATACAGATGGCAGGACGAGCACAAGTACCGGAAACCCACGGCGCTCTCTGCTCCCCAGTACATGAACCTCCTGATGGACTGGATTGAGGTACAGATCAACAACGAGGAGATCTTTCCCACTAATGTTGGTGAGTTCAGTTCCAGTAGTAGCTGAAGGGGGGCAGCCAGTGGAGAGCCTTCCCCTTCGAGCCATCAGGTCCTGTTTCTTTTTCCAGGAGATGCTGTTAATGGTCAGCGTTGCGCAGGTCACTGTTGGAGTAGAACTATTTCCTTTTGCACTACTTGGAAGCTGGGATTGTAATAAGCTCTTCTGAGCATGATAAGACTCTTCAGACCTTTTCTCGAGTGTTAAATACCCAGAGCTGCGACAGATCTCATTTGGAGCCATGGATGCTTAGAGGAAAGCAAAGTGAAGCCAGGCCTAGGCAGTGAAAATAAGAGGCTACTCTTAGAAAGTTCAGTCTCTGACGTGACTCTGTCAGCGGTTCATGCTGGACGTGCTCTCTTGAAGGACAGCTCTTTTACAGCTGATTGTTAGTTTGGGTTCACTAGGCATGCTCTACATTGGCCTGGTAGTGTGGCCATGTTTCCATAATTAGCATTTTCATTATTACAGGCTGATGCTAGCTGACTTTGCCCTTTCTAGCTCAGTACTTGCTGATATGCAGTAAGTTGTTTTGTTACAGCTGGGTGGGATGCTTGCATGTGCATGAAAGGAGGGACAGTATTTCATCTATTGCCAGGGTGATGGAAATGAGAGCTTGTCCTCAGATGTCTAAATCTGTATCTCCAAGTGCAGAGCTTCACGTGCTTGCTTTGGGGACAAAAAAACAGTTGTGTGCTTTCCTATTTTGTGTTGAGTAGGAGTTGAGATCTAAAGGACTAGGCAGATACAATTGCTCACAGTCAGAGCTCCCATATTCTGGAAAACAAAAGACAAGATGCAGCAGAGGTGTGTGAAGTGACAGAGGGGCTGCCCCTGCCTTGAAACTAGTCCTGGTTAGAGGGTGACTTCACTCCTGCCTCCTTTGAACCACCCCACTTTCACACCAAGAAGTGGCTGGACTTGCTGCTCAGGCAGGGTCAGCTCCTTGCCCTTCCCAGGCAGCCCTAGACAATTGCTAGGACACCTCAGTTTGGCGCGTGGATAGTTGGGGCCACGTTGGAGTGATGGGAGTAGAAGTGGGTCACCAAAGGCTGCAGATGAAGCGTGCACGTTCCTTGCTTATTCACATGTCTACTTTTACGATGCAGCCATGCACGTTCCTTGCTTATTCACATGTCTACTTTTACGATGCAGCCTAGCTCCCACCATCAGGGCAGGTAAGTCTCCTGCCAAAGGAAGTAGCCCCAAGTTGGAGATGATATTTAGTAGCTCCCTCCTTTCTGCCACAGCGTTCATCCCGTCAGAGCTCTGATGGGGTGCAGTTGGTCCCTGTTTCAGAAGGGTTTGCTTCTCCAGCTGCATGAGCAGTCATAGGGCCCTTCTTACCCATGCCAGAACAGCGCTTGAACCTAGCGTGAGGTGGGGGCGGGAGAGCAGAAGGGCCATAAACAGCCAGTTCTTCAGACAATTAAACCACTGAAATCCTCCTTGTCCGTTCCTCCTGTTACCCAAATGAACGCCCTGTTGCTTTATTTAGGGCTTTCCTGTAAGACTGTTTGGGGACTAAGCAGGGTATTTGTTTTGTGCAGGGAGGTGAGACAAGTTTCTGGAGGCAGGTGGGTTTTTTCGCTTTGCTTTTACAGGATTGCCCAGCTTAACACAGACAGTGAAATGTTTGAATTCCTGCAGAGCACTTAAAAGGTTTAACTAATCCTTGTTCCTCCAGAGATGACCCAGGTGAACTTTAAACTGCAATAGTCTACTAAGACAGCTAGTTGGTCAGAGATTGCTCTGCTGCGGGGCCCCTAACTAAACAAATCCTATACAAGTTGGACCAGGCTCACAGTTTCACACACAGTGATGCCTTTAGAAGGAACTTTAACGTCTTAAACTTTTAACCAAAGAGCTAAAGATATTTCAAAATACATGATAACTGTAGGGAGTTAACTATGCTGACTTTCTTATGGGAAACTGCTTCTGGAGTGGAATTCGGTAATTTTCTAATGTTTTTCACTGTTTATATAAACATACCAGATAGCAGAAGAAAACTCTATCGGACTGAAACAGCTGCTAGAAATCTCTGCTGACGCTGATCTTGTTTGCTCTCCGCTTTCTCAGTTGCTAGCAGCGACTGATGGTGCGCAGGCTTTTGTAACATAAGAAATCAGTGCTTTGAAAAATCTATCCCAAAAGGTGAAAGAAAAAGAAAGGGGGAACTGTACCTTGGGCAAACTCTTTTCCCCTCTTGTCTGAAAATATATATTTTACCAAGAGTTTTTGTGGTTGTTATTTTGCCCCAAGGAACCGGTTTTAACTTCAGTGAAGTTTCTGATGGTCGGATCTTCCCTCCCAGGTACTCCGTTTCCTAAGAACTTTCTCCCGGTGGTGAAGAAAATTCTCTCCAGGCTCTTCCGGGTCTTTGTCCACGTCTACATCCACCACTTTGACAGGATCACCCAGATGGGGTCGGAAGCCCATGTGAACACCTGCTACAAGCACTTTTACTACTTTGTGAAAGAGTTCAATCTAATAGACACCAAGGAGTTGGAACCACTGGTGAGTAGCCAGGTTGGGGCTGTGCAGCTAAAGGGCACAGCGAAATGTTGGTGCGTCAGAGTCCGCAGCCAGGGCAGACTGAGGGTAGAGGTGTTGTGGAGGTTTTGTTTGCCTTCTCGGAACTGTTTGCTCAAATTCAGGCCGTCAGTTGGCCTTGTGATTTGACTGACTGGGAAGCTGTGAATCAGGACGTGCATGTAGAGCTAAGCAGGGCTGTTTGGACGTGGATGGAGGAAGCTTATCTGTTCTTCTTGTCCAGCAACCTCGTTGAGTTTCCAGTAGTCAGCTTGCCTTGCTTGTGGGCACGGTCTGAGCCCAGCCCTATTAGCCATCCAGATGTGGATGGGAGAATGAACTCCCTTCCCTGCGCTTACTTCCCATTCTGAAAAGCGAGGGTGATAGCACCACCCTCGGAAGAAGTCTGAAGGACAGAGAATGTGACATATTAGACCTAAGAGGTGGTGATGGTCTCCCTAAAGCTATAGGCAGCAGAACAACTTTGGAGAGCTCTTGGGCAGTGGGAGGGTGTCCTGCCCCTGCCTGGGAATGGGGATAGGGGGAAACATGAGCCTGCCCAAACCAGACCATTGAGTAACAGAGTCCTTGCATGCCTGAAAAGGATAATTCTGACGTAGCAAAGCTGAGACTTTCTTCATCCCACCCTTGCCTGGGAATTGGGATCTTATTTGATGGTTCTGTGTCTTGTCTATCCCTTTGACAGAAGGAAATGACCTCCCGGATGTGCCACTGAGATCAGACCTTCCTGCTCTCACCTTGATGTCTCTTCAAGGACTCCGGGTCCCACTCCTGCATTGGAGACATGGTTTAAGGGGAGGACAGAGACGCTTTGTTAAAGAAATCTATATATTTTTAATGAGTTTCAATGTAAAACTGTGAGATTGCAGGAATATTTTTTTAAAGATGCTCTAGATAAACTAGTTTTTTATAGTAATTTCTATTGAAGAAAAAAAAAAAAAAGAAAATATTTTTGGCCACTTGGTGGAAATACTCATTCCCTAAGGAGGGAAGAGCTACGCTGTGCTGCCTCTTCCCTGTCCTCTCACCACAGTGGTATTAAGCGAGCTGAGATGCTTCAGGTAGAGCCATGCTGTGTGTAGCTGGTGCCAAGAAGGAAGCAGTACTTCCCTCTGGACGCTAACTCCCACCTTGAAGGGAGGTTACATGGGGATGGAGAAAGAAATGCTTGTGTGTCTGGGTTCACTGGGGCGCTGCAAGGAGCTGTTTGCTTCCAGCACCTCTTCCACTGGCTTTAAGTTGAGGTTGTGGACAGAGCTGCTCTTGCACCCTTGTACCGGGCAGCCTGTCCCCGAGATCTGGCCCACCTTTCTTTCTCTCTAAAAGAACTTGGACTTCTTTGGCTTTCATGGCTAGGCCAGAGCTGCCACTGCTGGTGGATTTTTGTCCCGTGTGGATACCAACGGGGCCTTGGCTAACTTGTGCCAGCCTTCTCCCATTGCTGTGCTGAGCTGGAGCGCTCCTCTTGTGAACCTGCTCTTGCCTTTTACATCAGCTCTGAGCTGAGCTTCTCCCCGCGGCGTAACCCAGCCGTGGCTCTGGGTGCAACATCCCCACGAAGGGCTGGGATCGACGCTGACAGCATTAGGACGCACCGGCCTTGGCCTCTTGTGAATGAGCAGAGGGAAGCCACTGGGACGGAAGTGGGGAAGTCTTTTCAAACACCTGCGCTTCCCTTTTTCCTTGCCGTAAGGCCGACCCTGCCAAGAAGGAACTGGGCTGGTTGCTCTCCAGCCTCACTTACTGGCTCTATGTGGACAATTTTCTGATTCCCATGAGGGTACTAAACCTTATCTCTCTTCCGGAGCAACACTTCCCCGCTCTGCTGTACACATCTCTTCATAACCAAAGTATCTGGTACGTAGCCAGAGACCGTGAGCCTTACATACTGCTTGCATGAGCAGCTCTGCTGTGTGATGAGAGCTTGGCGGTGCCCCTGAGGTAGGTAGATAGGTCTACCTAGGATTTTGGGGGTGGGGGGGAAAGCAGGGCTTACAGTAAGAGGAAAAAGGGGGTTTAATGAACAGTGACCAAACTGTACCACTAGCCGCTTCTTCCTTATAAAGATTTTTCTGTGTCCTGGAATCTCTGTACATATGTGACTCTCATTTCTTGTACTATCATTAGGACACTTTTACAAATACCACTATAGTTGTTGAAATGGAACCAATAAATTATATTGTATTTACATAGCAAGCTCCGGCTGATACATGCCTTGTGATTACATGTTCATCAGAGTTTCTATCAGCAAAACAAACATGGTGGTTTTGGACTCCACGGGAAGTGTGGTGAGGGGCTGTTCAGCGCCATTGCGAAATGATCGTGATCAAATATTCCTGGTGCTGCGGCTGCAGAGCTGGGAGCTCTTCCTGGTCTCGCGCCGTGGTGTCTGGGTTGCTCTGGACGTTCCCAGACCATTGGGGCAGAGTAAGCACGTGCTGGAGTTGGACCAGAAGTTTGGGGGCATCCTGATTTGTCCATGCAGTGCCACTGTGCCCAAAAGGCCAAGCTGTTCTCCCCGCGTACGTACCCTTTCCCATGTGCAGATCTCCCAAAAACCTCAGTGGAGGTGTGAGTAGGGGAGATGGATTTAAGCTTAAAGACTGGCTTGTCTTCACTGCTGCTGGCAGGCTCTCTGGAAGGAGCCCACAGGCCTAGCCTTCAGGGCTGATAAACTAGATTGGCCAAGGCTCTGTTTTTGGCATTCCTTCTTTCCCCCCCCCCCCC